AAAGTGATCGTATGTTTATATTATCTAATATTTTCCTAAGAAATATATTCCTCTAGTTAATTAGAGAATAAGAATAATTTCGAAATATCAGCTTCCTGATAGTTTATCACATTTAGGAGAATTTAGCTGAGTAATGGTTGTGAAGTAAAGTACATGCCAACTTTTCTATATGAAGTTTAAGTAGATCTCTTAAAACTGAATGCCAGTGTTTCTTCCTTCACTTTTAAATCAATAAGAGATACCAGACAGGAAAATATCTGTTATTCAAAGTTAAATGAAAACAGAGTTCATATTTAAAATGAGTTTTTGTGTACATGTATATGTCAGCTACTTAAATAACTGCCACCTGAATTTTTCTTAATATTATTAATTGTTCTCTAAAATAATTTTCATTTTAGGGCAATAGCAAAAACCAAACTTGTAGTTCCAGAATGAAATCAAACATACCTGGTGGCTTTACGGATGTCGACATAGGGATCTGGTGAGTCAAACAGTCGTACACATGCAGGATGAAGATTATGAAATACCTTTGCTGATTCCTTTGGAAGAGTAAAACAGCAAGGTCCTACTGATGGTCCAAGTACAACAACAATGTCCTCCAAACTGCAGCCATATTCTGCAATCATAGCATTCACTGTAGCCATAGCAACACCTAACAAAGTACCTTTCCAACCTGGTAAATAAGAAGAAAAAGAGATAAGGAAAGTTAAAATATAACAGAACTTCAACTGAATTTATGTCTAAGGTAGAAATGAGCAGATTTAGTTTGTATATTTTTCAAAGTCCAGAAATAATAAATGAACCACCACTTTATAGTGTGTCTTTTAAATGAGATATATTATAGAAAGCACTTGACACAGAAGATACATTTAATAGGAGTTTCCTTTCTCTTCCTTTTAAAGATGCCCTATACTTATAGTTTCCTATGGGATTATAGCTTGTTAGTCTTCTCTTTCTCACTTTTATTTTTCATATTTTAAAAAATTGTGATAAAAACATACAAAATTTACCATTTTAACTGTTTTAAGTGTACAGTTCAGAAGTATTAAATTCAGATTGTTGTACAATCAATCTCCAGAATGTTTTCATCTTATAAAATTGAAACTCTATAACTACTAAACAATAACTCCCTGTTTCTCCTTTTCCCCAGCCCCTGCCAACCACCATTCTGCTTCTAGTTCCTATGAATTTGATTACTGTTGGGGCCTTATATAAGTGAAATCAATACAGTATTTAGTTTTTTGTGACTGGCTTATTTTACTTAGCCTAATGTCCTCAAGGTTCATCTATATTATAGCATGTGTTGGAACTTCCTGCCTTTTTAAGGCTGCATAATATTCCATTGTATGTATTATATAAACTATATTTTGCTTATCCATTCATTTATCAATGAACACTTGGGTTGTTTCCACCTTTTGGTTATGGTGAATGCTGTTATCAACAGGAGTGTGCAAATAACTTTTTTAATTCCTGCTTTCAATTCTTTTGGATATATACCCACAAGGGAAATGGCTGGATCATGTGGTAATTCCATTTATAAATTTTTGAGGAATCACCATACTGCTTTCTTTAGTGGCTACACTATTTCACATTCCCACCGTCAGTACTCCAGTGTTCAAATTTTTCTACTTCCTCAACAACAGTTGAGGAAATAATTTTTCTGAGATTTTTTAATATTAGTCATCTTAATGGATGTGAGGAAATATCTCATTGTAGTTTTGATTTGTATTTCCCTAATTTCCAATCCATTAACATGGGATTTCTCTTCATCTATTTGTGTCTTCTTTAATTTCTTTCAGCAATGTTTTGTAGTTTTCATCTCTTCCTCACTTTTTACACTAAAATATATCTATTATGTTTCAATTAATAGTCCCCTTTCATACCCTTCCCATTTGCCTAGACTATCATTCCCTTGCCAGTTTTGTCTCCTCTGCACTGGATCCCAGGGAGTTCCAAGATAAAATCATTTTCTTTTCTCCTGCTCCCATCTAGTTGCCAAAGACAGAAAGCTAAGAATTATTGCATTTCTCCTTTGTTCCTTGTATCTGAGTTTGATTCATCTGATCTGGTTGGCCAGTAAGGAGTTTCTTTACTCCTTCCCTCAGCACTGTGTACACATACCCTTCTAAAGCTAAGCACTCAGGCAAAGAGATCAATCTTTCCAGATAAAGGGAGGAGATGGCCAAAGCAAAAAGTACTTAGCTTACAGGTCCAACCTCCACTAGATATGTGGCTATGGGAAGAACAGAATGAAAAGGTCAAATTTCTAGCTGGGTCTGTAAGTGGGTGGGATATTAATAATGAAAATAGGAAACCTAAGTGGTAGAAGAGGCTTTAGGAAAAAAATATTGAGTTTTCGGCACAATGATTTTGAGGCACCTATGAATACATAGGCAGTGATGTTCCTAGGGAAGCAACTAGATATAGGTATTTTGAGCTAAAGAGAAATACTCTCAGGGATTTTCTATAGCTAAGAGCAGCTTTCTTCCTCAGAGATCTTCCTTAATTATCCTTTCACCTATAATTCCTCTACTTCCTATTTGATTTTTTTCCCATAGCAAATGTATATGCATATATACACATCTGGTTAAAAGATTTTTATTAAATTAGTCCCATAGGATTTTACACTTTTTATATCTGATAACAAGTATATAGTGTATCTAATTATATTCTACTTCAAAGTTAAGTTATTGACTTAAAAATTCACATTTATAACTTCATTTTGACTGCTTTATCTTGGATATTTTTAAAATACATATTTTAAAGCCTAAGAAGTAACAAATGGCATTCCCCTTTTATATCCAAGAGCCAAGACTAAAGTTTTAAATAACTTTTTGACAATTTCTTTTAGTAAACTTGATTTCTCATGCAATTCCATTACTTCACCTAGTCAAAAGAAAAATATGCTTCTTTTTATTTCCTATGGACTAAAAAGGAAAGTAGTGATAGATTTACAAGTAGAAGAAAATTTTAAAGATCATCCCTCATTTCATATAGAGTCATAACCACTAGATAATCTAAATACTATTTTAAAAGACCTTCAGAAAATAAAATACCATAACCTTAACACAATATAGATTCAAAAAATACTTCTTTGCTCTTATCTTCAGAGAATAGTTACAGTTAAATACACTGAGTTAGTTAAACTAGTTAAACTAAATTTCAGTTTTCAAAACATCTTGCTTTTTTTTACCTCCCTACCTTTACACATGCTGCTCCATCTGTTTGAACACCTTCCTGCAACACGTCTAACATTCCTATTTTCTGTTGCCCGTATTTCAAGGATTCTCAACCAGAGGCAGAACCACTGCCCTAGGGAGTGTTTTGAAAAGCATGGAGGTGTTTTTTTGTTGTTGTTTGGTCTGTTTGTTTGTTTTGGTTTTTACTATAACTGGAGGTGCTACTGACATTAAGAATTTTGAGGGTCAAAGATACTTAATCTGTAAAGTAAGATTACCTTGCCCAAAATGTTAATGGCACCCTTGCTGAGAATCACTGGTACCTAGCCAAATCCAACAAATTCCTCAGCAGTCAACCTAGATACTGCCTTCTTTGAGAATTCTAGTATGACTCATATAATTTGATTTGGATACTCCTTTTATTGGCCCCTATAATAAGAGTACGCTTGCCCCACCCTGTCATTACATTTATCACAATGTAATGTAATTAACTGTCATGCCCACCAGAAATTACACTTTTTTCCTGTACTACAAAATTAGTAAAATCCTAAATGCTTAATTAAGTATACTTACCAGAGTGAGCAACCCCACATGCTTTTTTGACAGGATCTGCAAAAACTATCGGTATACAGTCAGCACCAAGAGCTGCTATTGTGACTCCTCTCTGATTTGTGGTTATTCCATCATAAGATTCAGGCTCCTTCCTTCCCATAATCCAGACGTCATTGGCGTGATCAGTCTAATTAATACCAAAGATGTTCAATGAAAATGTTTGAAAGTAGGATTTCTCCTACCATAAGTTTTTCTGAAAGTATTCATTTTAGTACAAAATTATATGACCAGTGTAAGATTACCAGCATTCATTAAATACACCACTTGTACATATGGTAAAATACCCAATTCACTTATTTAACTTTTTAAGCTTTTGACATTATAATCTCTGCGTATTTTATTCAAAGAAAAGCAGGCTTTAACATTATAAAATTCAATATAGTCTATCATCGTGAATACTTTTCACTATAGATGGATAAATCTCTCCTTCTAGCACTTTCCACAAAATGAAAATTTAACCTTCTTATTAAAGAAAGTGAATTACCAAATTAATGCTACTTTTATTTTTCCTAGACTCAGGCAAAGCTAGAATTCTGTAAGGAACAATACATTATGTCATCAGTTATGACCCTAGTTCCTCCTAGTGTTGAGTTAGAAAATAATGGCCTTTCTATTCCACCATTCAATTACCCTCCTAAATCAGAAAGGGAAGGGGCACTATATTCTCTGAGAATTAACTGTACTTTTAGAATTGAGGACTCCAGATGAAATATACAGCACATCCTTGAATAATATTGTTTCATTCAACATCAATTTGTTATAACGTTAATGAGGAAAAAAAATTAATTCCCCATTTAGGCCACTGTCTGGGTGCAGTTTGTACATTCTCCTCATGTCTGTACGGGTTTTTTCTCTGGTTTCCTCCCGCAACCCAAAGATGAGCATGTTAGATGAACTGGCATGTCTACATGGTCCCCGTGTGAGTGAGTGAGTGTGTGTGTGTGTGTGTGTGTGTGTGTGTGTGTACGTGTGCACCCTCTGATGGAATGGTGTCCTCTCCACAGTTGGGCCCTGAGTTGCCGGGACAGGCTCCAGCAACCCTGAACTGGAATAACTGGGTAAATTGTTATCTTACTTATTTTTATTAATCTTTCTTAAACATAGGTATAGCTCCCATTTATTTCAGTGTTTAATATTAGAAATGTTTGGTCTTTATTTAGAAGTTTGGTGATATTTTGTAACCAGAAATATGCTGTAGGAACTTAACTCTTATTTATATCAATTAGCCTACAGTAAAATTGGTTTCATTGTAAGTCATTTTGCTTAAAGTTGCAGTTTCCAAGAACTTATCAACGATGTTAAGTGAGAACTTATTGTATATATATCATAGAATTGACCTTTAGGTTATGATGTATAAATCTAAGAATAACAACCACAAGGTTATGATGTATAAATCTAAGAAAAATACATACATTATCCCAAAATTTTAGATAAAACACAAGATGCAAAAGTTAAATAGCTTAACGTCCATGTAAGTACACTAGCAGAGTCAACAATATATTTTAGATCTTCCAAAATATGAAGCAAAATCTTACCTTTATTCGGTAAAATTTCTCCATATTAAATCCTGCAGCGTTTGCCAACCTGCGCAGATTTTCTTGAACAACTGCCTTGGGATCTCTCCGTTTGGAACTACTGAAGAGATTGAATGAGCTAAGAGTTGGTATATAAGATATCCCACCTGTTCTTGTAGTAAATCCATGTATGAAAATATCTGTTGAAGATTAGTAAAGATTAAAAAGATGCTATATAAAACTGTAAAGCGTTATAAAACCCAGTCTCTCAATTAGACCTTCCCTGATCCTTTCAACCTGCTCTTGTTTATATGACTTCTAATTTTGACTGCATTTGGTACCTCAAGATGTTCTTATTAAATTCTGCTTTGTGTTTAACTTCCGTATGGTGTTATTGTTCTTCAAGGGGTATCTTCTGTCCCATCTGTCCCATGCTGTTATACCCAACAGCAAATAGCTCACAATAATTACTGTTTAGCTAAGAGTAAGACTGACTGTTTTAAATTTTACTCTTCTATGAAGGTGCCAATGAGTTGAAGTTTCAGAATTTCTAAACAGAATTTCAGGATCATAAATCTCATTGTAAATGAGGGCTGGGGGGGGTGGTGTCTTAAAGGTTAATTTGCATAAAGCAAATTTATCTGTTTAGGGTAGCTTTGAAGGGGTTATCCCTTGATACCTCTGATACCAGAAGGCCATCTATGACACCTCTATGTTGCAACTGATTCTAGTGAGCAACAAGCCCACAATAGTCAATAAAAGAAAGGAGAAAAATAAGGGGTGAACAACCTCTAAGGAAAGGCTGGATCTTCATGTACACTGTAAAAACAACAAATAGCATTTAATATACCTGGGATCAAAGGAGAAGTGATAATAGTTAATTCTCCTTTCAGTGCTGGCAGACTTCTCAAATACGTTTCTATTTCATTCTGGATTTCTTTCAGTTCTTGAGCTGTGATTACGCTTATTTCAGTGGATTGTTTCAAAAGGTCTCCCCTCAAATTCACTTGTAAATCTTCAAATTCAAAATCATAAACATCAGTGAAGAGTTGATCAATAAAAGCTTTCATTAATGTCTTCCTGTGCCCAGGTACAATTACCTTAATGCTGCTCAGATTTTTTTCATCTATTTTTTGTTTAATGGTATACAAAGAGGCAGCCATGCTGGGTTTGCTAACAGTCTCAAATTCTCCCAAGACAGCTGATAATCCATTGCTTGTTTCTAATTCATAATTATCATGTTCACCATCCCTTTCACAGCTGATGTTACTGCAGCACATTATACAAAGGAACTTGGCCTTGGCAGCATGTTGGTATTGGACAGCATTCAATGTCTTCAGTAATGCCTGATGGCAGTTCTTTTCAGAGTTCAACTTCAAACCAAAGAGATCAATCAAAACCACTTCTGCCATCCTTCAAAGAAGGTTTTTATGCCAAATAAATCACCTACAAAGAAAAATTAGTGTAAATAAAAATACAAAATTCTATCAATCTCATAGTTAAAACAGAAGTTTGTGGTGGATAAAAAAATAAGTAATTACACTCATCTAAAAATGTAACCAAAATAGTAAATCTAGACCTCCTCCCAAAAAAGCTAGTCTACTATTTGTCATAAGATAATCATGACAATTAAAATAAAGCCATCTTTTAACTCTTTTTTGTGAAAGTGTTGGAATATCTTTCCAGCAGAACAACAGTTCCTCTGTTTTGTTTACATAGCAAATTTTAAGTATGGAATTACTTGTTGACTTAGAGAAAGTCCTGTTTTCTAATTACAGGGTGTCAACCTGTGTGATATATCATCAATCCTGACATGGCTCATATTAGGTCACATCCCTTCCTATGCAGGGACTTAGGTTCATGAGGTTAAACGGAGCTGCACCTGAAAAGCACGTTTTAAGGAGATAAAAACTGAGATGGCTCACGGGCTTCCCTTCAGGACTGGCATAGTACTCCTCACTTCGCAATGTTCACAAAAGCCACTGCGATTTGGAGGAGACGAGCTTCCTACCTACTTTGTTATTCACTCTCCCTGAGCAGATGTGCTCACCTCCAGCCCCAGCCTTCCCACCCCAGGCTGCGGGTCTCTCTGTGGTGACCCCCTTAGGCGACGCCATTTGTCCCGGGCCGTTTCCTCCTGCAGCCTCTCATAACCTCCGCTCCCCCTCGTACGGGGCTCCCTCTGAAGTTCATTTTGCCAGCTTTGAGTAGGTGCCCGCCCTCCGTCCCTGTGCACTGTGAATTTCCACACACCGTGTGTCCCAGCCGGGTCCCTGTTCCTCCAGCTCGGGCTCGGCTCAGGGGGGCGCGGGCTGCAGCGCTGCACCTGCCGGGTACCTCCACCCGCCACTCACTGCCCGTATGGGACTCTCTGAGGGACAGGCGCACACCAGAGGCGGATTCCCCAGTCCTCGCCTCCTCACGCTCCACATTCCATTGCACACCCTGTCTGTGGCGATCCCCGCCCGGTCCCGCGCCTCAACAAAACCGGGAAGCCGCAAGCGTGTCACCTGGAGTCTCAAGTCCGTCCGCGTGGCGACCACACCCGCCCCGCCTCACCTCACCTACCTTACCACGGCTGCACGGATCCCCCTGCCTGGCATGGACGTTGGCTCCCTGTGGAAAGCCGACGGCCGAGCCCCCGCAGGAGGCAGGAGGAGCTCAGGTTTCGGGTCTGAGCAGCCGGGCGCGCGCCGTGCAGACGCAGCGGACCGAGCGCGAGGGCGAGCGCGGGGAAGCCCGGGATGTGCTAAGCAGTGCGCGCCCGCCGCTGCCTCAGCAGTTCCGGGTCTGGGCGGTCCGCAGAGCCCGAAGCCCAGCTGAGGGAAGACTAACGCGAAGCCGAGCAGCTCAAGAGCCCTCTGGCCGGAGCCAGGCGGGTCAGCGGGCAGGAGCGGGCAGGCCGGGCCGGGAAACGGGTCGCGGGGCAGAAGGCGCCTCAGGCCGGGGGAGGAGAGGGGCGGAGCGGCGGGCTTCGGGCTGTGTGAGGTGGACTCGGGGCGGCGCGGGCGGCGGCCCCGTGATGGTGGGGAGAGGGCGGCGGGCCGGGTGACGGTGAGCGGGTGGCGCGGGCGGCGGGCCCCATGAGAACCGGCCGCCGGAGCGACCTCGGGACTAAACCGCTGCCTGCCTTCTGCAAAGGGAAGCCCTTTCCGGGGCGCACTGGAAGTCCGCTCTTCCGGTCACTTGCGGACGATTCGCTGACACAGTAGTGTGATCAGGACGTTTGGTTAATCACCACAGCCCAGGCCTTGTCACGCTAGCTTTGGCAACTTGTCTCATCCACGGTTCAAGTAATGGGCCTCCTTGGGAAGAAGTTTTGCGTGGGTTTTTTTTGTTCGTTTGTTTCCAGAAACAAACTGGTTGATTCTCTTCCTTTGGCTTTTTGCTGATTCGGCCTTCCTTGCCAATAGGACCAACACTCATTACTTACAGTTCCTTCACTTGTATTGATAGCACAGATGTCCGCTATTTTGTTTTTTTTTTTTTGAAACAGAGCCTTGCTCTGTCACTCGCCTGGGGCTAGGATACAGTGACATTATACCTTGCAGCAACCTCAGACTCCTAAGCCAATGCGATCCTCCTGCCTCAGCCTCCAGAGTAGCTGGGACTACAGGCTCCTGCCACCACGCGTCTATTTTTTTGTAGACACAGGGTCTCGCTCTTGCTCAGGCTGGTCTCAAACTCCTGGCCTCATGCAATCCTCTGGCCTAGGCCTCCCAAAGTGTTTAGATTACAAGTGTGGGCCACTGTACCGGCCTCTATGTTCCTTTTTAAATATGTGCCACTGATAGGACAGTAGAAGGCACTAATCCCTAGAATCATGATAAAGGTACAATTTAGCATCCCTGATCGGTCCTTCAAAACGATGACATTCATTTATTTAAAACTATTGAGCAGCTACTATATGGAAGGCAGGTGTTAAGGGAATGGGAAAAAAAAATCCACCTTTTGAAGAGTAAGAGAAAAGGAGGCTTCCTGTGGAGCTGGTTATGATGGAGGGAGAGGTCCCTTTTATCTCTATTGTTGCTCATGTGATAAGTGCTGAAGAACATTTATGTGAGGATCTTGGATATCTGGGAGTTTAGAAGAGCCCTTGGAAGTGGGCATATTCCTGTGCTTGACTAGAGAATGGAAGCACTAACCTAAAATGGGAACCCACTCTGCAATCTCCCTGGCAACTGTTTTCATCAAATTTCTATTTTCTTTGTAGATGGTACACCCGATTAGAAAGTGCACTCTCTGCCTTGAGCTTGTTTTATGTTAAATATTACCTCAACCAAAATAGAGGACTTTTAGTTACAAAGCAGGATTAAAACATTTATCTCTGTTTTTTCAGACACTGGTGGGAATACATATTCTTTTGTGCAACAGTAGTGGCAATAAAAAACAAAAAAGAAAATATCTCAAAATAGTGAAGCTGTCAGGGAAGAGAGAGTTTTTTATATTGTATTTGCATACCATTTCCTATTACCATTTGGTCCTAGCCACATCCCCTAACACTCCGTCACCGGACTCTAAATCACCCTGCTCCGGTGGTTCTCAGTCCTGGCTTCACATCAGAACAAGTGGAACTTATTTTAAAAAAAAAAAATTAATGCAGGGACTCCACCCCAGCTATACATTAAATTGGAATCTCTAGGAGTCAGGCCTGAGCATGTTTTGCTTTGCTTTTTTGTTTTGTTTGTTTTCATCTCTATAGATGATTCACATGCATAATTAGCTTTGAAAAAATAACTTCCCTATTCCCAAGCTACTCAAATAAAGGCTGTTCTTTGAATAAGCCACATGATTTCATCCTTTACATTTCCTATTCCTTCTACTTAGAATACCCTTCCCTTTATATGCTTGTTTAACTGCTTTTTGTTTAAGACTCTTCAAGCACAAACATAATCTTCCCTGACTCCCCATCCCCTCACCAAGCAGAATTAATAGCTTCTTCTTTAGTATTTTGTTCATATTCAAGAAGCTCTCTCATAGATGCAATCTCAACACATAACCAAGCAATAAATTGAAAAAGTTGGTTAAACATTGAATTGTATACTTTATAAGGGTGAACTTTATGGTATATAAATTATATCTAAATAAAGCTTTTTTAAATGAAAAGGAAAAGAGTCATTTAAACCAGAGTATCATGTAAAAGTATAACATAAATACCTTAAACTTTTTATTTTAATCTAAAACAACTATATGGCCATTTGTTGAGAAGGTCTGAGGCCTTTTCTTTGCACATGTTCTACTGACTGGAATTCTGCATTTTATCTCTAGCATGAACCATACCTCTAAACCATCAGCTAAGATTTCCCAAGATTTCATTCTTTTAAGAGGAAAATAATTTAAAGACACTTGTGAAGCAATCTGAATACAGATATATTCTTTATAATCTTTTTAAGTTATCTCACATACCTCCTTTATTGGGTCTTTCTAAAATATTAAACATAGATTTTTGAAGAAACAAACTTTATTTCCATGGTATTTCACTGGTTTACATAATATTTAATTAAATTATGAAAGCACAATATCAAGTATAACTGGCATAAACGGGTTTGAGAACAAACACAAGAAACTCACTGTAAGATTGTACAGCTCAATTGGAGAGCACAAATGGGAAAATTTACTAGAGAGCAGTTTCTTAGCCATGAGCATTCAGTATGATACGGGAATTAGCAACATATAGTTTACAAAGGAAATAGAGTAAGTCAACTGGTTAGAGGTTAAATATAGATGGGCTAAGAGAGCATCTACTGTACTTCTCCATTTGAATTATTTGACTATGTGTCTTTCCCCCTCATAGAGACTTAGAGCATTTTGAGGGCAGAGATAATGCCCCACCTTTAAGGGGAACCACTGGGGAAATTCCCAAACATTCTTACAATAGCATGTAAATCTTTTCATCACTTTAAAAAATAGAACTTTTTAAAAACTGTGAACAGTTTTGTTTTTTTTTTTTAAGCCATTTACACTAAGGTTTATGGGTCTTTCCAGAAAAGGCCATGTAACAGATGCAAATTTCCTTGTTAAAAGCTTCTATTATTTTCCTAGGACTGCCATTAACAAATTACCACTAACTGGGTGACTTAACAAAAACTTGTTCTCTCCCATTTATGGATGCCAGATTATGTAATTGAGGTGTTGACAGGACCTTGCACCTTTTGATGGTTCCTCTGCCTCTTCCAGCTTCTGGGGGCTCCAGGGATTTCTCTGCTAGGGCCTACATGACTTGGGCTCCACACCTACATCTTCACGTGGTCTTCTTCCCCGTGTGTCTGTGTCTCAGATATCCCTCTGCCTTTCTCTTACAAGGACACCTGTGTGGAAATAAGTGAAGACCAATCAAATGAGAACAAGAAAAGGCTATTTATTCAAAGCTTGCAAGGGAGTCAGCCACTATCTCTTGCATTTTGGCAGAGTCAAATTCAGGCAGAGGAGTGGGTATGATCTAATTAGAGGCTGTTGGCATGGGGAAGCTGCCGGCAGTCTAACTAGAAGTGGGGCATTCTATGTGATTAGTTAGGGGGTGCATATTTGGCTCTTTCTTATTGCTTCCAAGTTGGAAGTGGGGACAAAAATTAGGGAAGCTGTCAGTTATTGATCAAACACTGGCCATTTGGACTCAGTAGCTATAGTTTGGCTTCCTGGATTGTTACTGGAGATAGTGGTTTGACTTTCTACAAGTCTGCTTTATAGATAATAGGCTGGCTTCCTGAATTGGTTACTGTAGGTAATAGGTTGGTTTCCCGGGTTGCATGCTGCAGGGTGTGGGTCAGAGTTCTGTTTTTATATATGTTCTGGCCATTGTCCATTTGCATATTCAGTCTCTCATTTGTCATTGAATTTAGGTCCCACCCTAAATCCAGGATGATCTCATCTAAAAATCCTTAACCCAATTATATCAGCAAAGACCCTTTTTCCAAATAAGGTCATATTTACAGGTTCTAGGGGTTAGCAAATGGACGTATCTTTTGGGGGCCATGATTTAACCTATTACAAAGCTCCTCGTGGCTTAGAAATCATGCTTTCTTATTTAGAGAAAAAAAAGAAAGACCTTGGTCTTTTAGTGTCCTGAGTGATATAAGCAAATAGGTTATAACTATATTTCATCAAAGGTCTATAATTTCTGATCCAGAGGCAGAAACCTTTTGAAACAGTTGCCTAGGCGTCCTTTAAAGCTTAGATTTGAGCTGCAGACCAACTTCTTTATGTCTATACTCTGAAACAAGAGATGTTTTGGTAGTTCATCACTGTCTGTACAGTCAGAGAAGTCCCTCCTTTGGTAGTAAGCTAGAAGCAATGTGAATAATGTATGAATTTGCCTATATTATCTTGTTTAGGAAGGTAAGGAATAGTACAAACCCTCTGGTTTCTTTTTCAGTGTCCTGAAAATTTAATCCCATTGCCTATCCAAAGAAGGAAGTAATCCCTAGTTTCAGAAGATTCTAAGACACTGGTATATAATAGGTCTATGATACATTTTAATAAGTCAATTAATTGATTATTTTTGGATGACTATTCTAATTTTTCTTAAAGACATGGTTGAAAAGACAGTCTTATCTTTAAAGTCTGTTTGCTTGATTTATGGAATTCTAATGAATTATCAGTAGATGGCAGTAGATTGTTT